ATTCGGTCTTATCATTGTGATATTTGAAGTTCTTTTTTTAATTATTAATTTAATTATAATATGACTTTTTTTTGGTCGAATAATTTTATCGGAATTATTTATTTTGAATGATCGTTATATGTACTATTTATTATAAATATAAAGACAATGCTTTCCGATATAATAAACATCATTCTATATAATTAAAAAGTTATAATTTGTTAATTTATAAATTATAACTTATTAGAAAACAAAAATAATAACACAAAATAAAATTATAATATTATTTACTATTGAAAATAATAACTTTAAATTGTAATTAAATACTATAATTCGATATAAAATTGAAATAGTAAAAACAAAGAAAATAAACTAATAGTTTAACTATTCATTCAATTAAAATTGGATAAATCAAGTTTTGGAAGTTCCTTTGCCAATTCCAAGTACTCATCTTCAAATGGGAAGATCGACAATCTCGTTACGTCACAAACATTGCAAAAGTCAAAAGTGATATTTTCGCATTCTTCAAAATGGAGTTCTTTAATCAATACATCATTTTTATTTTTTATGGCAATAACACTGTCATACAAAAATAAAGTTTCCACACTCGGTAACACTAATACTGCGTCTGTTGTATTTTCAATACAAATTTCTTTTAACTTTGTGCTTTGTAATAAATCGATAGTTTTGTTGTTTTGACTTCCGATGACTAAACTTGTCATATTTTGAGGAAACGAGATTGGAATGAGATGGTTGAAATAGCACTTCTGGAGATGGATCAAATTATTCAAATCCAAATTGGTCACATTGCGTGTGTCATATATCATCAAAGAAGTCATTTGAGTCAGAAAATCAAGTGTTTCATACTTCAAGTTTCTGCAGTTATATAATTTCAGGCTTTTTACGCTCATCGGAATGGTTTCGACTTTTTCTATAAAACAACTATTAAAAGTGATATCCTTCAACTGACTCAGATGAGCAAAGTTGGCCGTGCAATTTGAGACTCTGAGTTTGGTTAAAGTTGTTAATTGATTAATTTCATAACATTTTGGGTCGACATTATTTAATTCTATTTCTTGAATATATTTCACGTTATCACTATTTAATTTACTCGTTTTGTCATTCAAAACTAAAGAAGTCAAAGTGGTTGGGAGTTGAATACTTTTCTCACGAGTTGTTACCACTTTACTATGTGCTTTTCTCCGTGCTTTTTTCTGTTCTTCAGTCTCTTCGTTCTCCAAATCAAATCTGACTATTCCGTTGAGTCGATCCATTCTTCTCTGTTCTCGATCTTCCTCAGCTCCTTCTCTCTCATTTCTCTCTTTCTCGAGGATTTCTTCCAATTTCGTTTCGGGGTCAATCTCAATCGCAATCTCCATCTTAGTCGCACTCTTCACTTTCGCCAACACGTTTTGTATTCCGTCAAAATAATCTCCTGTAATCTCAACATTAGCAGGCAAGTAATTTTGAATCATCTTCTCAAAATTTTCCATTTCGTTTTGACTCATTTTTTGCTTCAAAGATATTTTTATCGCGTTGTTGTCCATTAACGTCAAAAAATCGTTTTTGCCCGGCACAAACGTGTCTGCAACGACCTTTGCAAATTGTGAGATTTTGTGGATGATTATTTCTGGGGCGTCTGTTTCCGCGTCCACAATGATTTTTTCAAACCCGACATATTTCTTCAAAACTAAGAGATTTTCATAGTTTAAAACATTAGTTATTCGAACTACATCAATAGTTTGTCTTTGATTCTTAAAAATCGTTTTAAAATTGCACTCTTGTTTGTTCAAGTCAATTTTGAGGCGTTTTAATAGTTTCATTTTAGAAATATTAACTATACTGACTGAATTATAATTCCATATAAATTCTACTATACAATCTTCTATACGCGCCATCAGTGTTAAATCGAATGGGGGATCATACAAAACAATTCGACTGATTCTCTCGAGTTGGTCGACATACATTGGGACTTCTCCACCTTCCAATAACAAAGTATTAATTGACGGAAACAGATTGCGAGCCGTTCGACTTAAATACTCGTTAATAGTTCTTTTCATTAAAAAGAGAGCGTCCCATTCGTTGAAACAAAAATCAGACTCTTTTTTAGATTGACGTAAAATGTTTGGCGTGTTCCGGACCATTTGAAGAACTTCTTGAATTGAACTATTCACTTGAACTAATTTCTTGATGGTTTCTAAAGAGTCCGCATATAACACAACATTTAATAAATATACTTTCTCTAAATGAATTGAAATATGCTGTGACATTAGTTGGTGGTGTGCTTTTTATAGTAATTACTTAACTCCTTTTTCTAAGGGTTCTTTTTTCAGTACTTGAAATTTTAATATTTTTTACTATGTTTTATAATACATCCATTTTGAATAATATATTCTTTTTTTATTTATGGTAATATATTTTAGTTTCATATACTACTATCTTTAATATTTGTTATTTACAAGAAGTTGTATTCATGTTTGAATTAAACTAGTAATTATCATAAAAACAATTAAAATTTTATTAATCATTTAAATGGTTTGAATATAGTATTATTTATCAATATTATTTTTATAAATAGAAATAACTAATAACAAATAATTATTATAAAATTACATAATTCACACTTCACATCATTCAAAAGACATTTGAAGTTACAATTTTACAATCAAAATATTTCAATTTTTGATTACAAAACAACTTATTTTAGATATTTTTACTAAGACATTTGAGTAATTTTACCTAAGATTTGAATGAAATTTCAAATCAATCACACTCTTATGGAACAAAACGATTTGTTTAAAACAAAAATACAATAAATTACACAATCACACACTTTGGTTTGTGAGATTTTTTACAGAGATGTCCGTGCTTTTCCTTCCACTTTTTCTCTTTTTTTTCCTTTTTTCCTTTTTTTGACTTTTCTTTCTTTTCTTTTTTTCCGTCCAATTTTTGACTTTCTCTGTTGATTTGAGTGAAGAGAGGGGAGCATTGTTGTTCAAGAGTAAACACCGTTTCCACAATTTTTTCCATTAAGATCTGTGCCTGTTCCTGTCCCCCATTTTTGAGTGAGATTTCCAAAAAATTAGCGTCTCTTTCTTTGCACAATTGGAGGAGGTCATCTTTTTGAAAGGCGTTAGGCAAATCGGTTTTATTTAATACCAAAAACAACATATCTTTGTCACAAATTCTATACGTGTCCGACATGGTAAAAAATTCGAAGAAGTGGAGAGAGTCTTCACTATCATTCGAAACAAAAAAGATGTGAATTTTCCCTTTGTTGCTTAAATCAATTGTGCGATTTGCACTGTGCGATAAAAAGACTAAAGAAGGGAGTTCAGTGAATGAAATGTCTACAGTATACTTACTATAAGAAAATGAAACTATTTGGTTGACCTTTTCAGTGGTCTCTTCATATTCTTCATGATATGGTTTATGCGTGAGAAGGTCCAAAAAAGTCGTCTTTCCCGTCTCACGTTCGCCAAAGAGTGCAACGCTTATTGCGGGGAGTTGCATTTGGAGTGGCATAACTCGAAATTATTAACTTCTTTTTCTTTTTTGTTATTTTTCTTGTTTGTCGTTTGATCGATTTATAAAATTCGCAAATTATTTCAAAATAATTAAATTCTTTTGTGTTCTTTTTAAATCATTCAGAAGTGCAATTCTTAACTTCGAATGTGATGGGTTCAATTCGCTTCATCTCGGGTTTTTTTTTTCTTAAATCATTACTTGAACTAGACTGTATTCTATTTGTTGTTAAAACTATAGTTTCAAATCTATTATTTTAAAATGTGCTACAGTAATTGTAAAAATATATTAATACTTTTTTACATATGGAACAATGGCTATTTTTTTACCAACGAATAATAATAATATGTAATATATACTAAATATCGGGATTGTTTCGTAATAAATCTCGCTGAAGGCATTTTAAATTAATTTTATAGTAAAATGCTATAAAAATAATTATGATTAAATATAATGAAAATTCGAATTATCTTTTTACTAGTTTGCGGTTTATTAATTACAATTTAATAATTTAATAGATTATTAATGCCTATTGGAAGTTGTATATAGTCAATTTCCCGAAACTATATACTATTTTGTATTGTTATAACATTATTATTATAATTCTGGCGTTTTGGCTATAAAACGATCATTCATAAATTATCTCTCAACTTCGTTGGTAACATAAATAAAAACTTTGAAAAAATAATTAATTTATATTATTAATTAATTTTACCATTAAATATAGTTTGGTTATTAATAATTTGGTTGATTTTATTCGATATTTTTGTTGCAATGAGGCGAGTATTCAAAAGTCATTTTTGATGTGAATCATCTAAATAAATTCTTTTATTAGATGATTAAAAATAATTAGCAATAATAAAATATGGTTTATATTCTTTGTTTTTATAATAAAAGTCTATAAAATGTTTTTTTTTAAATACAAAATAATACCAAAACTAATTATTCTCTTAATTAATATTTTTTAAAAAATTAATTAATGTTTTTAATTTAGAATTACAACTTCGTTTCTTTTTTCTGAAATATTAGGGATGTATCCCGTACTTTTTGTTAACAATAAAGCTAATATATTTTGAATATTTGTAAATAATATCGTACTTTAATATAATTACTAATTAAACAATAGTATTTATAATTGTTATTTAGTATTTATTTATTTATTTATTTATTTATTCAATTTTTTACAAATAATTTAATTGTAAAAGAATAAAAATGAAAACCACAAAAACAAAAAATATTACTGGACAAATTATTCACACCTAATTTTTATTAAAATAAAAGTATTTATTATTATTTATTTGAAGATTACAAATTAAAGTTTTGTTGTTAATTTTAAATGTTGTTTTAATTTTGTTTTTCCATTGTTATTAAAAAAAACTGATTGTCTAAAATACAGGTTGGTACGAAACCCCTATAAAGGGGCTGAAAAAAACCGATGTTGTATAGAGTTGGTAACAATAGGTAAAATGTTTTTTAATTATTATTTTGTTATTTGTTTTTTTCCTTTTTTAAAAAAATAAAACCAACATTTTTGCTTTGCCTGAGTATAATTTAGAAGTTTTTCGAATATGTTGTTAATAATATATTTATATTAGGGAGAATACATTATATAATACACGTATTTGTTTAATATAATCGGGAAACCCATTGAACTATTTATAAAGTGATATTAATAGTTGGATTTATAGAGACAAAACCCATACAAATTAAACAAAGTATAATAAACAGTTCTTTTAACACAATTAACGAGATGGTTTATATTTTCGTTAGTTACGATTAATCACGATGTAATTTGTTGATCACTTTGTTTTCTGTGTTTTTTCTTTTTGGAACTTTTCCCTTTCATAAACTAATCAGCTGTAATAACCTAAGTTGTTATTTTGAAATCTATGCTCTTAAACATTATTAAATAAAACAAACGTCTCTTCTGGTG